TGAAAAGACACAGGAGGGACCTCAGGGCAGAAGTCATGCCCGACTGTGCCCTGATGCCACCCTCTTGGCGTAGGACCTGATGGTGTCACCAGCATGGCGTTTGTCACCCAGCCAGCTGGGCACTGCCCCCCATAGAGGCTCCTTATTCTAGGACACCAACCGTGTGCTGCATGGTTTGGACTGTATGGGGAGGAGCCCGGGGCAGGGACATCTCCGTCTGCTTGTCCCCCACAGCAGCGGCAGCTCCTCTGAACTGAAAACAGGCAGCACATCCTGCTGAGGGGAGGGGAGGGAGGGAAGCCGTGATGTGGGAGTTTTAATTTCAAGTCCACTTGAAGATATATAAAGTGGAGGGGTGGGATTCAACCTGTCAATCAGGTCACCCGCCTGATGGTGCCTCCTTGTGGGCGTGGTCCTCTCCTAAGGGAGGTCCTGGGAACCTCCCTTCTCTCTCTGCCTTCACCTTCCTGCTGGCGGACCCTGATTGCTGCCACACCCCTGGGATGTTGCGACCGCCATTGGCGCCACATGACTTGACTTTGCACACAACGGCCTGTGATCTTCCTGCATTCTGTTCTGCATCATTGGCTCGTGGGTGTGAGTCTAAAGAGGGACTCTGGGCTAGTTCAGATTTACTGACGTAAGTCGACTGGGCTGCGGTGTTTTCTTGATCTATAGTTACTCGATAGAAGGTTGTTTCTTACACCTATAGGAGTGTCACTGGATTTGATTTTTTGTATCCGAGCCTTGTGGCTTCTGCCTGACACCTGGATGCTCCCGCCTGGCTGCCCCTCCCCTGAGGCCTCCCACAGTACAGGGGATGCCGCAGAGGGAGGGGCGTGGGAGGCATTCTTCAGACCACAGGGGGCAGCACTGTCCAGGCTGCTTGGGCCCTGGTGCCCAATCTGTGTCACAGTAGAATGGCCTCCGGCCTCCGCAGCATGTCCCAGGGCTGGTGCTTTGGGACCAGGTTACCAGGCCTTTCTTCCAAAGTACCTCGGGGTGTCTCGAACCTTCAACCATTGGATGAGCAGCCGAGTGCATTAACCCTGCGCAGTGCCCAGGGACAGTGCCACACGTGTCATCAGGCACCGTCCAGTTGGTGCTGACTCACTGCACCCGATGTCCAACAGAACCAAAGGCCACCCGGCCTGCGCCAGCCTCACAAGCATTCTCATGTCCCAGTGCATCTTGTCAGGGCCTTCCTCTTCCTCACTGCCCTCTACTTGACTCCGTGTGCAGTCCTTCTCCAGGGCTGGTCCACGTGGATCACAGGCCGCAGTGCCTGAGAGGATGCCTGGCCATCCTTGCATGGCAGCGGCATTCCGGACGTACTTCTTCCCACGGAGATTTGGTCATTATTCTGGCAGGCCACGGTCCTTTTGGCCACGCCCCCTCTCAGGCCTTCCTCCCTCACTGTCCAGCTCTCACATGCACAGGAGGGACACTGGGTGCTGGGCAAAGGGAGCTGGATTTGGAACCAAGCCCTAGTCTTCTTGCCGCTCTAGTGGGACGGGCCTTCTTCAGTTCTCAACCTTCAGCTTCCTCATCGGCCTCCTGGGGATAAAGACACGCACCTCACAGGGTGATCCTGGGAACAGAAGGCGGGTGTCCTGGCACAGCAGGAGGCTGGACAGAGGCCGTGTCCCTTCTGCTCCACCACGCCTTGGGGCCTTAGCACTCCAGGTCCAGGCGAGAGGAGAGGCAGCGTGGAGGCGATGGAGGTGGTCCGTGAGCTGGGACTGTGGCCTGGTATAAAGCTGCCGGGAGGGGGACCTTGTGTCCCTTCCCTCCCATCCCACAGAAAAGGGTGATTCCTGGGCAAGTGTAGCCCCTTGTCTGCAGGACTAACGCTGTGGTTTGGTTTCCAGGGCTTGAATGAGACAGCTGCGAAACTACCACGCTCTTTGCGATGCCCACTCCGGGCTCAGCAGAGAGGATGATGTCTGGGCCCTGCTGAGGGTCCCCACCAGTATGGTTGTGGTCTGAAGTGGGGGTCAGCTACCAGTGTCCACTTGGGGTCAGTCAACCAGTTCCTCCATTCAAAAAACAACAACAACCCCAAAATCAACTAATCAACCAATGGTTGTGTTGACGCTGCGTCATGGTGCCCCGATTGTGCCAGAGCAGTCCAGGCTCTGCAAAGGGCGCAGCAGCTGCTTTTTCAGAAGAGCACCAGGCCTTTCTCCTCTGTGGTGCCTCTGGGTGGACACGAACTTCCCACCCTTCAGGGGATATAGTCCTCTTATGACATCATGAGCAGAAGTCAGCACCCAGCAGCTCGCTGACCCCGACTTCACTACCAGCAATCCCGGGAAGGCTCCCAAGAGCCAGCACCTCATGGACAACATGGGAAATTCAAAGGAATGCTACTCAGGGGGCGTTTTCTTTCTGCATCATAAAAAAAGACACGTGTGTTTCCAATCGATGGCATTCTGCTAGGGGCAAAACAATATGGAGAGCAATGAGAAGGTGGTCGCCAGGCATCTTGAGAGGGAGAGTGAACGGCTGGGCTCCAGGGCACCTCCGGGACGCTGATACTGCACTGGGTGGTGTGGACACAGGGGCGCAGGGCATGATGCATCTGTCAAACTCCACAGCCTGGGTGACCTGCAGAGGGAACCCTGATGCAACCCAGAGTGGAGGAAACAGGGCCACTAGCACGACTCATCCACCATCATGAATGTATCAGAGGGTCACAGAGAAATCCAGGTGGGGAGTGAGCAAGAATAATGGGACTCTGCTGTCCTTGCGGTCCCAAAGCAGCTCTGACACAACAGAGTTGATGAGAACCCAGACACACAGACACCCACGACTTAAGTGTGCTGTGGCTGCAAGGGCCGCCCTGTCGGTCCTGAGTCACGGGGACTCCAGGAACAAGAGGGACAGCTCCGTCCTGCTCCACCCCGTCGGGGGAGATTCCTCTCCGCCTGCCCATCCCACAGGGCACCGACCACAGCACAGTGACTTCCCCTGAGCCACGCGGGCTTCTCAGGCTGCCCCCGCCCCACCCCGCATGGGCTCTACATCAACAGGAGCGGGAGCTGCCCAGGCCTGTGGCACAGGCACCACTTTAGCCCCACTCACACCCAGGGGCTCTGCAGCCTCAGCTCCTCGCTGGCTGCTGAGAGCACCGCAGAGCAGAGCAGCTGCCCCAATACCAGCCCTCGCCCTCAGGCTCTCAGCAAGACCGAATCTCAATCGGAGCACCGGATAATAAGGAGTCCTAGAGGCATTGTGGGCTCAGGGTCAGGCTGCTAACAGAAAGGTCAGCTCACACCCCCAGCTGCTCCGAGGGACAAGGCGAGGCTGTCTGCTCCTGTCGAGATTCGTGGTCTCAGAAGCCCTGTGGAGCCCCTCTGCGCTGTCCCATGAAGTCCTATGAGTGTGGTCAGCTCAACGGCAGTGGGCTTTGGGCACAATAACAAGGTGTCATACAACTGAGGGGCTACATGTCCCCTTAGAGCAGTGGTTCTCAACCTCCCTAATGCTGCGACCCTTGAATACAGTTCCTCATGTGGTGGTGACCCTGCCAACCATAAAATTATTTTCCTTGCTACTTCATCCCTGTCATTTTGCTACTATTATAAATCAGGCAACCCCTGTGAAAGGGTCATTTGACCCCCAAGGGGCTTGCCACCCACAGGTTGAGAACCGCTGCCTTAGAGACAAGGATGGTCACACCTGGTCTCACCTACTGTGGACACCTGACAGGGAGAGATCCACCCCTGAGCAAGGAGCCCACTGCTCCCACGGAGACAGCACACATGTAGGAAGTACCCAACTGTTTACAAACCACGGCACAGCGAGCTGCTGCTGCACGACCTCGGGGGAGCCCTGGTGGCAC